ATTGATTAAACAGATGTCCTGGGTGCCATCAGACTCACAGGATGAAGTCTACGCTCCATGTGGCATACACGGCCCTCCCAAACTTGGCCCCAGGCTAACCTCATCCTGCCACTTCCACATGACAACAGACCTCCGCTTCTCAACTCTCCGGGCCCTCCCAGGACCCTCTGCATCTCAGCTGCTGCTCTGCCATCAGGAATGGCCCGCCTCCTCTTTGCCCTTTGGCTAACTCTCCAAGACAACTAGGGGCGTTGGGTTCTGTGGCTCCCCTATGCCATCTCTTCCCCTGTAAAACTTAACCATCCCTCCTACTAGAGTGTACTCAAGGGCAGGGGCTGGTTTTCCCTATCTTTATGTGCTCAGGGTCTGGCATAACGCCTGACACAAAATAGATGTTTAATACATGTTCGCTGGGCGAGAGAAGACATCAGCCGGCGCCTGTTTAGATGGTTGTATCTGAATGTCCATGATATGTGGGTCCATAAAATGACCAACTTCCCAAAGCTGTCATGTGTAGAGTGGCGGCATTTCTGTCCAAGAAGGCCAGTGCAGTCTATGAGGCATTTTACAGCTAAGACAGGAAACAGCAATGTCAGCAGTGGTGTCATCTTTGGACACGAAGGACAGGGATTCAGTGCCATGAACGGTCAGTTAAATTGTAATTGGAGTGAACTGTTCCTCTGCAGACCATAATGTTCTTTAGCTGCAGCCAAATGGCGTTCAAGAAAGGGAGGCATTTTTTATTTTTTTGAAATGTCAAAGAAATTATTTCCAATTTGGTGTTCACAACCAGAGACTCTAATGATCAGTGGAAATGAGAAGCAAACAAATTAGCACTAATGGAAAATGGCTTTTGGAAAAGAGGATTTAATTTATAGTCAACTGGTCATGGCATGCAGCACGCAGTAAAAGTCAGCTTCACCAGCTTGATCATCAGAACTGGAGCACACATGGAAAGCCAGAGAAAAATATATGGATGCCATCGTGCTTATTGGACTCTCTCTGTAAGTGGCAGCCAATTAAAATAGTCATTATTTTACCCTGGAGAGAAAATGGTCTGAATAATCAAAGCACATGAAATTAAAATCCGGATTAGGAACCTCGGTCCAAATTGGTTTGTTTGTGGCCTTCTGACCTTGGCAAGATCCTCTGCAAGGATGACAAGCCTACTTTGTCTTCAGCCCAGAGTGGACTCTGTTTTTAATTTCCTTTCCATCTTCAGAGGTGATTAATAAATCTGGACTCATCTATAAATCATTTCTATAGCAGCCAAATGGTACTCTTTCATGCAGGCAAACTAAAATTATAGAATCTCAAAATCTCAGCTCTTAAGCCAAAGGTCCTTAGCAACGAGCAAGAAGAGGTATTATAAAATCAGGTCTTGTTTCTAAAAAAAAATTTCTCTCCTCCCCACTTCCCCAAATCAAAAGACATGTTTCTGAAAGCAAGAAGCCTGCAGGGCATGGCTGCCAGCCTGGCTCACTGTCCCCAGATGGCCTTGGAAACAAGGCAGTCACTGTGGCCATTGCTGCAAGTTTCACCTACAGAATGGGACAGAGGCATCCTCCTTGGCTCCCACTCCCACTCCTCACTCAGCTCCTCATTCAGAGAGAGAGAGAGAGGGAAGGAGACAAGGAGGGAAAAGGAAGACAGAGAAATAAAGAAACATTCTTCTTCCAAACTTCAGCCTGAGCTAAGGAGGGTGTGCCCTGGTCCTTACTTCCACCTCAGGGCAAATGCATTACAACTTGTCACTTCCTTCTCACAGACTCCCTAGCTTCTGCCCCTGACTCACACCCTCCTTACAGACCCCTCTTGCCACCCATTTCTTCCCCACAGCTGCCTTTCCTTCCACCCTCTCCTCATAGACAAACCTCCTCCCCATCTCCTTCCTGCAAAACCCTCTGCCTTCATCCTCTCCCAGACCTACCCTCATTTTCTACCCAGATCCAACTTTTCCTCTCCCAAGTCTCACTTCTGTCCCCAACAGCACACCACAGATCTGCCCTCATGCTCTTCCCATAAAATGTAACTCTAGGTCAACCACAACCCCTCACCCACAGTCTCCTCCTCCCTTCATTGCTCTATGCTTCATCTTGCTTGACTTGATTTCCTACCTTTGCTTCCTTTCCCAACCTTACTCTGCCCTTGAAAATCTTTGTTCCTGATCAGGAATGTCTCCTCCACTCTGAGCCTCTCCATAGTCTCTCTGCCTACCTCCAGTCTCTCTGCCTACCTCCAGTCTCTCTGCCTACTCCAGCCCAGAAATCTGCCTATTCCGGGGTGCCACTTCTGCATGCCCTCCCTGGCTCTTATCCCCCAAGGACGTCAGGGTTGAGAGGGGGACTAGTGTCTCCTCACCAAAGCCCAGCCCAGCTCCTTATTCCATCACCTTCTTCACCTTATTAAAACTTTTGCTGAGGGTCATGCCATGCAGCTGTATTGACCTTTACCTCTCCTCATGCTGTTCATCTACAGATTCCAGAACAACCCACTTCATTCAAGGACTTCGGTACCTAGTTCACAGGCATCCTCCTCCCTTTTCCCTCAAGTCCTGCCATCATCCAGGAAGATTTTAATGGTCGTCTACACCCTGAATGTCTTCTGTACTTCAGCCACCCACTCCTACTGCCACACCCTGGATCTTGTCATCACTTGGAACTAATCCAACGTCATCACTCCACTTTCTTTTTAAAAAATAAGACTTAAAAAAAGAAAAAAAATATAAGTATATATATTATTTTCCTGTATTTTATTAAGCTGCACCATGTGTTTTGAGAATCTATAAATATGTATTTATTGATTTCGAAGAGGGAGAGCGAGATAGAAACATCAGTGATGAGAATCATTGATCAGCTGCCTCCTGCAGACCCTCTCCTGGGGATGGAGCCTGCAACTCAGGCATGCGCCCTGATTGGGAATGGAACCTGCAACCTTTTGGTTTACGGGCTGACACACTAACCACTGAGCAACACAGGCCAGGGCTCATGCCACCTAAGTGAATTTCTCCACCAGTGCTTTGGATTCCTTATGTTATTTTTCTTCCAGGAATGCCACTTTCTCAGTTATCTCTCTTTCTCTATAAGTTTTTTTTCCTTTATCTGGATCCATGCCAACAGCATTTCTCCCATCTGAATAAAAACTTGTGTCTCCTTCCAGCTATTGCCATCTTTCTTTTTTCTCCTAAAGAGCCAACCATCTTGAAAGTGTATTTGTTACATGCAATCTTTGCTTTCTCATCTTCCCACCTACTTCTCAGCTCACTGTAATTTGACCTCTGCTTCCAGCACCAACAACTTCCTTGTTTCTAAATCCAGTGGATTTTTTCAGACCTTATTTTATTAGTCATCAGCCTTCAACACTTTCCTCCTGGGGCTTCTGATATACCACATTCTACTTCTGAGTATCTTACCGTTCTGGACACTTCATCTCAGTTGCCTTTGCAGATTCACTCCCCTTTGTCCTCAGGCTTCAGTGTTTCTTAGCGATCTGTCCTCAGCCCTCTTCTCTCCTGATTCTACACATGCTCTCTGGGCCAGTCAATCCACTGGTGTAGCAGCCATCTGTAAGGCAGCACCGACTGCCCTTTCTATTTCCAGTTCTGACTTATCTTGCAAACTCCAGTCAGGCATTCACACTCAACTGCCTCCTGGACACCTCCACCTGGATGTCCGTCCCACTGGCACCTCAAATTTTGCCAGGCCCAGAACGTACCCTCTCCTAAAAACTCTGCTTCCTCTCCTTTCTGCTTTGCCTAAGCTATAGAATTTCAGAAATCATCCTTCCTTTCTCCTACTTGCCTCACCAGCCACCATGTCCAGTTCTTTTTAGCTCATAAGTGTCTAAGGAATCCATCCCCTCCCTCTTCATTCCTGAAACCTTTCCATGCTTTACGACCTCGTAATCCCTCCCCATTGTTGAAACAACTTCCTAACTCGCATCCCTCCTCCCAATCCCCAATCCATCCTCCACAGTGCCAGGGGTCTTCAAACTACGGCCCGCGGGCCACATGCGGCCCGCAGAGGAGTCTGATCCGGCCCGCCAGGTTTTTTGGGCAGTGAGCGCAGCCGAGGTGTTACAGTAGGAATTAGTAGTTCATATAGTCCGGCCCTCTAGCTCTCTGAGGGACCGTGATCTGGCTCCCACTTTAAAAAGTTTGAGGACGCCTGTAAGGTTACTGTCACATTCCTACTTCCTCTGGCCAGATGCTGATAATTTATGGCACTCCTCAGTTTGAGTTCCTGTTGAGTCCTTTCTCCACAGGTCTTTCAAGGTCCAGCCATCCCCACTACCATAACATCGCTTCAACACTCTCTGAGCTCACAGAGTTAGATTTGGCTAACGAATAGTTTTCCTCCTCCTTTTAAGACTTATGGAGGTCAGGGTCAAAAGCTTAATCCTCACTAGAGCCACCTACATAATAGGTGCTCCGTATTTGTTAAACTCATGGATAAATGCAAGAAAACTGTATTACTTAACCCCTTTGTGTCCCCTTCGAATAGAGCATTCTCCAAAGTCTTCCTCTCTAGTTTTCTCCTACCCACCCCATCAGTCAGAACATGCCTCGCTCCATGCCAGCACGCGCCCCCTAGGCCGTTTGTACGGTTTTCTACCTCCCGTTGTCGGAGCTGCGATAATAGGGGGTCGTAGAGGATGCGAGACGAGGTATATCAAAGGGCACTGTCCACCCTGTAGGGGAACAAGCGGGAGAGAAAGGAGACCCCTCTCCACTCCCAGAACAGAGCAACTCTCACGCAGACCCTCTTACCTACACAGGAGGGCGGGGACTCTTCCTGACCGGCGTCCAGGCTGACCAATAACCTAACCCACATCAAGCAAGTCAGCCAATAGCTGCGGGCCAGGGATAGAGCGGGGCGGGGCGTGGTTGCTAAGGGCCCAGCTAGTGGGGCGCGGCCAGAGGCTCCGCGAGAGGCTCGGTGGTTGCTAGGGAGGGAGGTCACAGAGCGCGCTCAGGGATTGGGCGGCGTGGGGCGAGGTGGGCGGTGATTGGGCAGTGTCAGGGAGGCGCCGGGGTGAGGTGCGGGCGCGCGAGCGGGAGTTCCGGCGGCAGGCCCGTGCTGAGGGCCGGCACCGTTCACCATGGCCTCGGCGGAGCTGGATTACATCATTGAGATCCCGGATCAGCCCTGCCGGAGCCGGGGTATGGAATGAGGGTTGGCCCCATCGTGGGGAGGGGACCCAACGAGTCTGTGGGTCGCGAGCTCAGCGGTGGCCCCGCCCCTCGCGGCCCCGCCCCCTCGCGGCCAGCCCCCTCGCAGGGTCCCGCCGGTCTGGGCCTCGGTCCGGCTCGGAGAGCTCCGCCCCCTTGTAAGCCCCGCCCCCGGGCACTCAACCTGTCGGAGCCTCTTCCCTTCCCTGCGGTCTCTGCTCTTTTGGGGTCCTTTTTTTTTTTTTTTTTTTTTTTTTTTTGTGTGTGTGTGTGTCTTTTCAATCGGAGTTTTCAAGGTCACGCTCTTGTTTTTCTCCTGGTAGCTGAAGGCCGGGAGGGCAGGGGCCCTTCTGATTCCTTTGTTTGGGGTCGGTTTCCCACGTCTAGCCTTTCTGGTTCCGCCCACTATTTCTCCTCCCCCCAGCCCCCAACCGGGGACTTCACGGAAGCCCGGGACACCCAACCCTCATCTCTTCCTCCTCCCTACTCTCAACTGCTGTGGTCAACGGAGCAGCCCCTGCCCCCAGGGAGTGGTCGGTTCACATCCTGACTCCTCCCTTGAGTAGCTGGATGCCCTTGGTTAGGCCACCCCCTCCAAACCTCAGTTTCCTCTTCTGCAAAACGGGCATCCCGGTAGTGACCTCCCTCAAAGGGTGGTTGGTTGCACAACTGGGATTGTTTGTGTGGAGGACCCAGCGTAGCGCCTGGAATGGAGTGAGTTTAGTGATCAGCATTCTTCTTCTCCCTATAGTCATCTCGTTAAAGAAAGGTGTGTGGGAGGCTCCCTAAAATGAGTAGCTTGTGGAGTGGGCCTGGGTCCTTGGCCGTGTGAGTAGGATTAGGGGCCCAGAGAATGGAAGGTTGGGCCCTGACTCGGAATTATGGAGGAGGAGCCTTGAAGTACACGCCAGCCTACGCCCGGCATGTCTCTCCCTGCATTGCTCCCCCTCGCCTTCACGCCTCCAGTCTCCCTGCCACGCTCAGCCTCCTAGGCAGAGGTTTGATCTTATCACGGCTCTGTGTAAAACCCTTCATTGGCTCCTTATTGCCCTCGGGATAAATCAAGTCCAGATTCCTTAATACGGCTTTCAAAGTCCTTCATGATTTATCAGCCCCTGCTTGCCTCTCTGGTCAGCATGTCCTTCCACTGTTCAATTTGAGCTTTATGTTCTGGCAACCGAACTGCTTGTGATTCCCCACACATTTCTTGCTTCTGCTGTTTCCTGTGTCTGGAATGCCCTTTCCCCTCTGCCGCCCCACTCCGCTCCATCGCTGTGTCTGGCTCATCATCCAAGGCTCAGCTCAGGTGATGCTTCCTTCAGGAGAGACTTCCTCCCGTGGCATCTGTGTGCCTCGGTTGGGGCCTAAGAGAGGAGGGCAGCCGCTGGGCTCCCACAGAACAAATGGCCGCGGACCAGCTCTATTTCCCTAGAGCTGGGCTCAGGGACTCCTGATCTGTTGGCTTAGGGCTCTTGGGCTAACACAGTGGTCGGCAAACTCATTAGTCAGCAGAGCCAAATATCAACAGTACGACGATTAAAATTTCTTTTGAGAGCCAAATTTTTAAAACTTAAACTTCTTCTAACGCCACTTCTTCAGAATAGACTCACCCAGGCCGTGGTATTTTGTGGAAGAGTCACACTCAAGGGGCCAGAGAGCCGCCTGTGGCTGGCGAGCCGCAGTTTGCCGACCACGGGGCTAATAGATGTAAAAGTGCTTTTGGAGAGTTTTGGCATCAGGGGGAGATGAAGACAGTTAATATTCTTTAAAAAAAAATATTTTATTGATTTTTTACAGAGAGGAAAGGAGAGGGATAGAGAGTTAGAAACATCGATGAGAGAGAATCATCGATCAGCTGCCTCTTGCACACCTCCCATTGGGGATGTGCCCACCACCCAGATACATGCCCTTGACCGGAATTGAACCCGGGACCCTTCAGTCTGCAGGCTGACGCTCTATCCACTGAGCCAAACCGGTTTCGGCCAGTTAATATTCTTGTCCTTGGAGAGCCTGCAGCTGCATGGCCAGGAAGGCAGAAGTTCTCTTTCAGCCCACATGGCAGCCTGGTGGTCTTGGTTAGTATTTCAGATCTACCTCTTCCTGGATCAGTGGCTTGGCAAGTTGTTGAACCTCTCCGATCCTCAGATTTCTCCCCTGTAAAATGGGAATAATAATAATAATAATGCCTGCTGCAGGGATTGTGAGGGTTAACAGGATAGTGACTGGAAGTGTGTGCCTGACACATTGTTGGTGTATTTTCTCTGCTTGAGGAGACTGGGTCCTAGAATGGAAAGAAATCTCAGGGCCCCTTTGTCCTGCATCCTTCTGCTAGCGTGAGGGCATCTGTTCCACCAGACCCTTCCCGGACAGCTTTCTCCCGAACATCCCGGCCTTTGGGAGGCAACTGGGATTGTTAGAAAGCCCTTCCCTTTCCTGACCCGCCATAGGCCTTCCTGCCGTTTCCTTTCAGTCCAGCATTTTCTGTGTCCTGGCCTCGGAAGTGACTCATCCGCAGACTCCCGCTAGAGGGCTGTGGTTTCTGGAAGGGGTGAGGTTTACAAGAGCTGGTTTCACAATGATGTAAGTGGAAGGCGAGAGGGTCGTGGTGGGTACAACCGTAATTTCTCTTCCTCTCTCAAGAGGGCAGCTTCATGTCTTCCTCAAGTTTCTTCTCCCAGAGAGAGATCTCCAGGGCCTTCCGCTGGCCGTCTCTGAAGTAGTTCTAACAGCCTCCTTGTGGATGCCCTAGAGCTGAGCTGGGGTTGTAGGAATTCCCAGAAGGAGGAAACAGCCCTGTGATCCCCTCAACCCATTTGCTTCCCTCCTGCAGAGGGCTCCCCTCCAGGCTGACACGCTTCACACAGTGACAGTCTTTGGGGCCCCAGAGATTGTCCTCCAGATTTTGCATTTACTGTTTAATGGTGGAGAAGTGTATAGGACAGTCATATTTGGTTTCTGGAATTGCTTTCCCCCCATATTTGAACATCATACCGCAGGGCCCAGCGCTGCAGGGAGTTGACAGAGAGGTGAGCAGCTGCTGCTGGCACAGCGGTTAGCAGGGAGCAGCTGCAGGCCCGGGTCATTCAGAGCCCAGGCTGGGCAGGCGGCTCAGACCCCGTCTGGGAATCCCACCGCGGGAGTGTGTCCGGGCCTTTACCGAAGCCGTTCCCTTGACCTGGAATCTCTCAGAACCCACCCCTCTTCTTCTCTGACCAGTGATCCCCCGCACCTCCCAAAACCCCATTTTCATCTCATTTCTTTGGGGGAAATACCTTGTCCCAGGTTATCCCAGATTTCAGCTCGGGAGCCTCGCTCCTAAGCTTTTGCATCAGCTCTCAGTTGCCATTAGGAAATGTTGCTTGAATACAGTTCCATTTCTAGGAGACAATTAAGGACAGGCACAAAGAAAGAGGTGTGCAGTAAAGTTATTTTTATAATAGCAAAAAACCTGAAGCATCATGTCTAATAATGGGAGATTGGTCACCATAAATTACATTCTCTAGCTGCTCTGCAGCCACTAAAAAGAATGGTGCAGAAATATATAAACTGACAGGGAGAGATGTTCACAATATATTGCTAAATCGAAGAAAGCAGATTACAAAACAGCATGATTCCAATTTTATTAGATATTCATTTTCTCCTTTTCTACAGCGAGCATGCTTTCTCCTGAAGTAGTAATAATAATTTTGATTTATTGGACTCTTTCTCTTTGCCAGGTGCCATGCTAAGCCCTTTATAGTCATTTTCTTACTTAATCCTTTGCATTATTATCCCCATTTCACAGATAAGGAAATGAGAGCTTAGAGAACTTGCTCAAGATCTCCTTCCTAGCTATTAGTGGCAGAGCCAGAGATTTGAACCCAGCGATTGTTTCACATACTACGTACCCTTAGGTACTATGCTGCTCTCCTATGCTGTTATTTCAAAAAGTTAAAAAAGAGTACATATAAAATAATTTGGTTTAGCCGAAGCCGGTTTGGCTCAGTGGTAGAGCATCGGTCTGCGGACTGAAGGGTCCCGGGTTCGATTCCGGTCAAGGGCATGTACATTAGTTGCGGGCACATCCCCGGTAGGGGGTGTGCAAGGGGCAGCTGGTCGATGTTTCGCTCTCATTGATGTTTCTAGCTCTCTATCTCTCTCCCTTCCTCTCTGTAAAAAATCAATAAAATATATTTTAAAAAATAATTTGGTTTAAATATAGGAACTCTGAGACTCTAGAAAATATTTCTGGGCAGGAGACAATTTGGGTGTCCTTTTATTCTTCACGTTTAAAAAAGAAAACAGAGTCCTTTGTGTGTTGATTCTGGCTTACAGATAAAAAGCTCATGATGTGCCACAGACACTTACGCCTTGTCAGCCCTTCCCTTTGTCATGGCCGTATGCCCCCGGGGTGTGCACAATCTAATTTATGCTCCAGTTTTATGACTTGAAGTGTTGTACAATATGTGTATCTGTAATTCCTGCATTATTGGTGTCAGTGTTGTTTTGTTGAGAAATTCTAGAGGACAGGGAGCCCTCGAGATTAAATTGTTTGTGTGGTGCTCGGAACGGGCCAGGGTTGAAAGGAATACTTATGCCAGGCTTGATCTCTGTGAGGACTCAACTGCTTCGGCTCTCTGAAACGCCCTCCCCCATTTTGAAAAATAACATTTTAATTCTTACTGCAAAAATGATACTCATTTTAGAATATGGGTAAAAAAATACCATGAAAAAACAGTTGCCTCTAGTCCCAGAAATAATTGCTGTTAATCTTTGATGTATTTTTCTGTGCATATATGTTTGTGTGTGTTTGTGTATACATATATATGCATATATACAAATATAAATATGTGTATTCTGTTGTTTATACTGCTTTTCAACTTGCTTTTTCACTTAATATATTACTTTTCCTTTTTTAAATAATAGCATTATTGAGATATAATTCATGTACCATAAAATTTACCCTTTTAATATGTACAATTCATTAGCTTTCACAGAATTGTGTAGCCATC